GGGGGGGGAACTTTGCAAATAACCAACTGCAAAGTGGTTCGAGCAATTTTCAGCCACTTCCCCAGTGTATAGTAATCCGACGAGTGATTTGCAGGTAGCAGCGCTGCGAAATTAATTTTTCTGTGGCTTTGTTCTGCTGGTTCTGTTTTCGTTGTGCACTGTATTTACTTTTACAAGAAGGTCATTCGAGCCGTGAATCATATTCTGACTCTTTTCACATTCTCATTTCTACAGTGCTTTAGGTTCTATAACTGTGCTTCATTTTAGTTTTTTAGTTTCATTTAAGAGAAAGGAAGTTCCACATACAAGTTTTTATGCTACTGTCAGACCATTTTTTGTTGATACATCATGAATTAAACGCCTATAAAAAATACTTCGGATACAAAATTACGATCTGTTCATGTGTATGTCGCATATCTTCATAACTATGTCAGTTGGTACTCTTTTATTGAAATTCTGCTATCGTTTCGCTAGTCCAGAACTAATAAACCTTGAAACGTCACAGTTTATAATAACTAGCCATTTCGGAATCACGGACAGAGAATTTGTTCGATTGATGGATTACCGGAACCACTGAGTAAAAACTCCTGAAGTTGTTGCGCTGACCTAGATAGAATTGCAGACTTCGCATGAATGAATGATATGAGCAGTAGCTTATTGCTTATGGTTACTGACATATAAGCTGCTGTTATTCATATGCAGGTGATCCTTAAAATAAATATACGTCTGTCAGTACTCCTGACTAGTGTCATTCATTTATCTGTCGAATTAAATGTTTTAAGACGGTTGAGTAAAATGACTTTTGCAACATGAAAACATTAAAGCCCTTAAAAATATAATACTAAATGACATTAACAGGCTATCAAAACTACAAATTAATATGCAAACGGTTCCAAGCTTCGAATAAGTCTTTGTTTATTGTGGCGGAGCTTTCGATGTCCAAAACGAAATTTCTTTTGTGCGCTGACAAAGGAAGATTGAATGCGGTTTCGAAAGTTTCGTCTTCCTAAATAAAGAGTTAATCCAGTTTATATGTTGATTGGAAAAGCATATAATGTAAAAAATAGACCAGCGACTAAAGCAGTGGACAGCGCGTTGTCAAAACACTAAACAGTCAGGTAATAAGGGAATACACGCAACTCATCCTATATAAAACAAACAAATGTTCGTTTCAAAGTACTGCTGTGGCCTGCAAACCGTTTCCAACTGAGCCGAAACACATTTGGGATGCGCATGTCAGTCATTTTTTTCGATCGAAATTGTTGATCTTGACTCAGTGATTATTCGTTCATTAATGAGGGTTGAATTTTTGAATGTACAAATGCAAATTTTCACCACTAGAAAATTACTACTAGAAAATTCAGTTATAATCTATAAGATTTTTTTTAAATAGTTGCACGGACTTGTAAAATTTATCTTCATTCCGCACAATATTGATGTTTTGGAAGAACTGCCATGACGTCATGTTATCTTCAGTTCACAGTAATGACGGCATGAGTGCGGTCTACGATTTTAGGATGCTGT